ATCATCATTAAAGACCACACAGTATGTTCCAAAAACCACGGGTTCATCACCGTCAAGCACGAGCCCAGCACCAGAAACAATGGAAACAGCTTTCAACATCGCGTTTTGGGAAGAGATCCAGTGGGAGAGTTTCCCGGATTCATTAGGCTGCTTAAGGAAATACTACGACACTATATTCTTAGTGTATATTTCAATCCAACAGAGCAGAGAAAAATTTTTTTTTCCAGAATCTACGAAAATTCTGAATTCCTAGGAAACGTAACAAACAGTATCCCAGATATGCTCGCTCGTACTGAGACTCTGCCTACATCCATTCCAGTTTATCCGTGTTTTCAGATAACTTCACTCTCTACGTTGGTATCGCTCCCATAGTTTCCAACAGCTCAAGTGATTACGATCATTTGATTGAACAAGTTAACTCAAAGCTAGCTTCGTACGGTGTAGAAACCAACTTCATTTTCTACTACGTAATGATCTGCAGAGATATCATTAGACTGACATATACCTTCCAGACTTATTATGGTGCACAGTACGAATATCAACTTCTGGAAGGGATCCGCTTAGCACGAGTTGCTCTCGATGTTTGATGTTCCATTTAAAATTACTTCTAAGATTCTTTTTAGAAAAAAAATATAAAGATGGGTGTTGCCACAAATCGGGCAATGTGGAATGGTGGCTATAATGAAACCACACTGTACTCGGATCTGCCATTGTGGTTGGTCATTGCTAAAACTGTCAAACAACGCTTGAGCTTCATAGGAACACTGACACGTATAACTTCTCGAACTTCGATTCTTATGGAGGATGGACAGCACCCGTGGCTAACTCGCATAACTACTTTGTTACTGAGTGTGTGTCCGATCTATTTATAGAGAAGCAATCTTTCATACCGTGAGTTCTTTCCAATATCCAGTATACTTGCTCTTTAGTGTTCAATACAAATCCGAACTGTTGAAAGGAATGAGCGTTACACCTATTGCCAACTTCTCACCAACTTCGAGCATGACTTCTGTGACGCCAAACCCTCCGATAACGCAATCATCATCGACTGCTTCCATATATGCTGATGATACGACTTCATCATCATTAAAGACCACACAGTATGTTCCAAAAACCACGGGTTCATCACCGTCAAGC